GCCCCTCCCCCTTGCTCGTGATGGTTTGCCTGGGAATTGACCCCGAGTAAGAATGGAACCACACAGCCTTTCTGCTTCCACGTTGCAGGAGATACTCAGTGTTTTAGTGTAAAGAGCTTGTGCTAGAAGATTCCACACACCATGGGCTAACGTGCATGCTCCAAGCATATTTAAAGTAAGGCAGAATAAGCTGCATTGCTCACTGAGTCAGGTTTATGCAGCTGATAATGATTATAGAGCATATACTTTTTATTAATGTATTCGTGAGTTTTTTTCACTTGAGATGTTTTGGGGCAATGATAGTTTTATCAAGACCTGGCCCCAGTGCAAATGAAGCATGTGTTTGCTGTGGGTGAATTGTATTCTGCCTTTTGAGTATGTTGATAGGAATGAAATCAGGATCTAATAGATTACTGTTTACGCCATAATTTATTTGATTCACAATTAAGTTTATTTAAGCTATTTCTCACTTATAATCTATAGTGCAATGGACTTGTGCCTACTTTAAAACTAATTTTAACTATATTCTTAGAACTGAAACTCCTGACTTATGGCTATAATTTACTTTGCACAAGAGGCAAGTTGATTATAATGCTATTATATTTATTATATTAAATTCATTATATTATTTATCATTAAATTTTTATTTTAAAATTTAAATGTAATTTAAATTTTATTATATTAAAATATAATGTAATTATTATAATTATAAGTAATGCTTAGATATTGTTAGCCATGTCATTCCTACCTACAAATATTTCTAAGATGTCTGAAGTACAGTGCTTCTTGTGTTTGGAGAATGCACACAAGTTTGTTGAACTTGTGGGCAGAAGAGCGTTCCAGTTTATGTCCTAGGAGGACTCCTAGGACGTAGCTGGGGGTCAGCCCCACCTTACCAAACTCTACCCCAGGATAGGTTTTTACTGAGCTTTCCCCCTGGCTTGTGGAATCAGATTTGGTTTTATTCTGTTGTTTCCCCAACAGCAGGGACTATGTCCCCCTCTGTTGTCACTGTCAAAACAGTAACATTGTCTTCATGACATGCTGAGTAAGTGAGCCGGGCAAAGTGAAACCAGAAAGGAGGTAATCAGTGTGCTTGTGAGGTCCCACAGCTGAACTTTCTTTTTTCCTTCTAAAGAAGGAATGCGTGCTCGGCTGGGAGATGAGTTAGCCAGCCGGGAGCCTTAGACAGGAACTCAGAACACCGGCCTCTGACTTTCCCAACCAGCTAGCTGCATGACCTTAATGAAGTCACACCAGCTTCCGCTTTTGCAAAATCAGAGGATTAGACAAGATGGGCTGTGAAATACAGACTGGAAAAACTGTGCATAGACAAGTTTCCATTAGCATAAGCTCACTCAAAGCACAGTGCCTTTTAAAGCTGGGGCCAGCCAGAACCGCTGCTGGCTTTCTGTGATATTTTGTTTTTTTTACAGGGTTTCTCTGTGTGGCCCTGGGAGTCCTGGAACTTGCTTTGTAGGCGAGGCTGGCCTGGAACCCAGAGATCCGCCTGCCTCTGCTTCCCTGAGTGCTGGAATGTCTGTCTTTTTAGATGGATTTAAAAAAGAAAACATTTGGTTTTGTTCCTTCTTGCTCTCTACTCCTCTTTCCATGTATGGCCGTTGTGACTCAGTGGTCTTTTCCGCCGTGAATTCAGGTCACAGTCCAGTTGTTTGTGGGGATCTATCTAAGTGAGGTCCTGGCAGGAAAAGGAAGGCTCTGCGAGCTCTCCAGCCGGCAGGAGAGCAGGTCTTCCCCTTGTGGTCTTCGGTGGAACAACAGCCTCCTGAAGGCTGTTTCTCCACCTGTCATCAGTCAGATTTCTTAGCCCCATTCTTCATAAAACATCCTTTTTTTTTTGACCAAATTGAAATGAATATATTTTGTTATACCTTTCCTATAAGCTGTATAAGATGTAGCTTCTCTACACTGAGTCAAAATGCAAAAGTAAGACGAGACAAAGTCTATGTTTGACAGGCATCTGGCTGCATTTGAGCGGGTTCGCTCTTCTAGCTCGTCAGAAAAGCTGGCCTTTCACCGGGGTGGCCTGTAGAAGGGGAGAAGTGGAGTTTGTAATGTAAGATGGCTTAGCGCTTTCAGTGTGAAGGGTATTTTGAAGGTTGGCCTTCAGGCTGGCTCTGCTGAGAATGGAGTTGGAGCAGAGCCCCCCCTCCTCCGGGGATGTGAGCTCTCCAGGTGAGCATCCCAGCTGAGAGAATGCAGCTGTCGCAGCTGGTGCATGGCAGAGGTGGAGACACCAGATCACCCGGGAGAGCCAGGCTAGAGAGTACAGGGAAGGAAGGAGTACAGGGAAGTACATGGCCCTTGGCCCAAGAGAACTGTGGGCGTTTCCAAGCAGCAGCTTTAGCGTACAGAATAGGATGATCCTGGTTGTGCCCTAAAAACATGTGAGGGAGGAGAGCCAAGTGGAGAGGCTGCTTCAGAGCCCTGGGTGCTGGGGGTGGCATGGTGGGCCCCTCTGAGCGCTCGGACATGCCTGCGTCTGGGACTCCAGCAGGCATCTCCCTGCTGTGGAGTCTGCCAACCAGGGAGGTAGCTGGTGTCTGTGGTGTCCAGCCTACTGTGGGTACAGAGAAGGCAGGACTCGGGAGACGCTTACTGCTTGAGTGAGGAATGAATAAATGGATGGAAAATCCCTGAGAAAGAATTCTTAAACCACAAACCACGATATAAAAAAAAAAAACAAAAACAAACCCAAAGGGTTTGGGGTACGGTTAGGGTGGGTCCGCATCCTTCTAGGACACAGTTGCCCCTGGAGGAATGCTTGCAGCCTGGGCTGTTTCAGTGCCTTCCTGGGCAGGGCAGGGCAGAGCAGGGCAGGGCAGGGCAGCTGTGGAGTTTCCATTTCTCTGGGGGTGGCATGGATGAAGAAGTCCGTCTGTAGACAGGGCTTAAAACAGCTGAGGAGGGAGAATGAGTTGTCGCTGGGAGGGTGGCAAGTGAACTTGGTTCAGAGTCCCTGGGAGAGTGCAGGCTGCAGGCAGCAGTGGCTGTGAATAGAGTCTTTTTCATTTTTAAAAACTAATTACTATTCTCTCTCTGGCTTGCTCCACTCTCTCTCCCTCACATGGTTTCAGGTAACGCCTGACTTCATCCTACTCTGTACCCTAAAACTGCCACTTAGAAATACCCATGGTTCTCCTGGCCCGAGGCCTTCCTTCCTAGTACTGTCTGGCCTGGCTCTCAGGATATTGTGGTGTCTCCACCCTGCCATGTACCAACTCTGATAGATGCTGCGTCCTCTCATCTGGGATGCTCGCCGGGGGAGGTCACATGCCGAGTCCCAGGGGCTCTGTTCTAACCCCGTTCCCTGGGGCCACACACCTTCCCAGCGGAGCCCCCTGAAGGCCTGCCGTCAGAATACCCTTCACGCTGAACGTTTCAGCACTAAACAGTCTTATTAACTCCACTCCTTGCCTCCTTCTGCAGATGGCCCAGCTTTTCTGGTGAGTTAGAAGAGCAAGCCCTTCCTTTGTCAGAGGACAACTTGAGGGAG